CTCATTATTTAAAATTTTATAACAACGATAGGATACAAAACAAAGGGAACTTTACTTGACTTGCGTCACCTATATAGTTGACAACCATCCTATCAACGGGTAATGTAGCCATGTGTAAATACATTTTTACCCGAATTGCATTTTTTAATTCGTTAATTTTTTTAATTAAATTATTAAAATAGTGATTTTGAGTTAGAGGAGAATATTTTCCATTTCTAACAATTTCCCATCACTTACAAGAAAAGGATAGGAAAGAAAAGACTTCAATCCGAGTTGATTAGTGAAATAATAAAAATGGAAGAAATTGTTTGTCTCAAAATAGTTACTTTTTAAAATAATAACTAGCTTTCAGTACACAGCATAAACTGGTTGAACGAATTTGTATTTCGTATCGCAAATTTCATTATAACACTACAGAATAAAGTAATTTACCAAACGAATTGGTCATAAAATAGTTTAATGCATTTAGTTTATGAAACGAAAATAATATTTTTACAAAAAATGTGGTAATAACTTCTATCTGGCAACAAAGTATTACCGGTTCTTCCACGTATTTTGTGCAGATTCTTGTCAATTTTCATGGTTATTTCCCTTTAAAGCTTACCAACATTAAAAAAACTTAGGGTTGCCAAGTATCTACGAGAGATATTTCTTGGGTAAAAGAAACGAAAGGTTATGATTTTAAAATTTATTTCAATAAAATTCTAATTTCAATACATTATAAAGCCACATAAATGTTAAAAACAAACTACAATCACATTTTAAAAGTAAGTTAAATAATTGTTTACAATATCACATAGTGTAAGGCACATAGAAATATATTTTCAACCATAATTTACACATTTGCGCCTTTTTTCATATAATTATTTTAAAAAACCTGAAGAGATCATAAACATAGTTTTTTTTTCACTATAATAAATATATTTCATACAAATTGTTGATTTTACAAACCAATAACACAAAATTTTTTTATATGTATTGAAGTAACTCAAAAACTAAGCCAATTTAAAAAATTCTTTCACCATTAAAAAAGGACTACCTGTTACATTTTTTTATTATTTTTTTAACTTCACGCGAACAAAGACCAACAGCTAGTAATATTTGTAATACAATTTTTTTTACACAACTTTGCTAAAACTACTAATTAAATAAATTTATTTTATAAGTTAGTTAAGTTATTTGATGTCTGTCTCAATGTCTGACTTTTCAAATCAAAATTACTTTTCTTACTTTCAAATATGACATTTTTTCGATTTAACTATATTTGTTATAAAACACAGAACTGTGAAACAATCGGAAGCAAGCAGAGATTTTTTTTGAATTCCACAAACTATAAATTTACTTAATAATATTACAACTAATTTATTACCAAAAAAATATTCTATTTACTTCTAAACTAACTTCTAATTTATTTACTGGACTGATAGTTTATTATTAATTATACTATTTTTTTTTTACAATAAAACCTTGGTTGAAAGAAATACAAAATCTTAACAATATTAATCTTTTCATTTCATTGCAGATTCATTAGCTTATATAATTTCTAGCAGCAAACAAACATTATCGTTAACAATTGATATATACCTGAAATAGAATGACTAGAATATTCGAAAAGGATTAAAAAAATAATAAACACAGATTTTTAATGCAATAAAACATTTCAACTTAAATAACAGAAAAAGAAAAAATAAAAATGACATAACCTAAAAAGTAAAGTCAACAGCCATAACTAATCTATGTCAAAGAGTAAACAGCGATAAGACATGTCAGTTTTAAAAAGTAAAGGAAAAAAATCACAGATTTCAGTTTATCTTGTCATGTTTTTAGAGAATTTCAGATATAAATCAATTTACAATGCCTAAGAGACACAAGATGACTTCAAATCCTGTACCAGCAGAATTGAATGTATCACTTTGTTGCTGCAAAATCTTGAACGCTGCAAAAGAAATAAATTTAAATAAAATCCCAAACTTTT